TCATGACATATTAAGAAAAGTGGTTGATAGATTCCAGATAGATAGATAGATAGATAGATAGATAGATAGATAGATAGATAGATAGATAGATAGATGATAGATAGCAATAGCAATAGCAGTAGACTTATATACTGCTTCATAGGCCTTTCAGGCCTCTCTAAGCGGTTTACAGAGAGTCAGCATATTGCCCCCAACAATCTGGGTCCTCATTTTACCCACCACGGAAGGATGGAAGGCTGAGTCAACCCTGAGCCGGTGAGATTTGAACCGCTGACCTGCTGATCTAGCAGTAGCCTGCAGTGCTGCATTTAACCACCGCGCCACCTTCAAGTCAAGTCTCAAAGAACAGAAGTCTTCTTTGTGATAAACCAAGTGAATTGGTACTTTCTATAAATGCAGGGATCGGTATCCCTGTTCATTTCATTGCAACTATCAAAGTCCTTTTCTTTAACCATAGTTTTGTTTTCTGCTTTTCTCCCACCATTGCAAATGTGATGGGATTGCAACTCCAAAAATTTCCAGCCAGCTTAACTTTTACAGCTAGGGTTGCTGCGTACGGAAAGCCTGGATGCTCATATATTGTTAGCACATACGCCATTTTGTAGCACAATATTCTGCCACGTTATTCTATCACAATAGCAACTCTTTGCATCTGTGGGCAATTTGCTTAAGAGTATGTTAGAACTGATGAATTAATTGCATTTAGCTATTAGATGTGTACTATGTGTTTAGCTATGATGGGACGCGGTGACTCAGTGGCTAAGAGGCTGAGCTTGTCGATCAGAGCTTGTCAGCAGTTTGGCGGTTCTAATCCCTAGCGCTGCGTAACGGAGCGAGCTCCCCTTACTTGTCCCAGCTTCTGCCAACCTAGCAGTTCGAAAGCATGTAAAAATGCAAGTAGAAAAATAGGGACCACCTTTGGTGGGAAGGTAACAGAGTTCCGTGCACCTTCGACATTTAGTCATGCCAGCCACATGACCATGGAGACGTCTTCGGACAGCGCTGGCTCTTCGGCTTTGAAATGGAGATGAACACTGTCCCTTAGAGTCAGGAACGACTAGCATATATGTCGAGGAGTACCTTTCCATTTCCCTTTTATTATGTGTTCTCACCAGAAATATATGATGTAATATCTCCTTTTCTGGAGTAGCTCTGAAGACTTTGACATTCTAAACACTTGTGATAAATTCACACAATCAAACAGATGTTTTAAAATGGAAGGGATGCTTTAAATAAATTTCCATCTCACACAGGGCTGGAATTTGATTTCTGCAGGCAGAGCTGTTCTGAACTGATCCAAAAATCTTGCTAAACAAAAGCAATGTGGAAAATTTTCTGAAAAATAGAAATATTGTCACAAGTTATGTCACATACATAGAATAAGATTACTTATTCTGCTTATTGAATGCTATATAGTTCAACCTAATATAGACAAATGCCTTATGGGAATTAAATACAATCCACAAGTTACGTCACATACATAGAATAAGATTACTTATTCTGCTTATTGAATGCTATATAG